GGGAGAGGGAGGGAGAGAGAGGGATCTACTATTTCTGCAAAATCCCCCTGGTTCTTTGTTTTCAGTTGTCATTGCTCAGAGCATCCAGTTCAGGGTTAGGGTTCAAATCATCTTAATGGAGGTTCCAATGGCATGTGACAGCTTTCTTAGGGCCATCTCACTACTGACACTGAAGTCCTCTGAGGCCTGCCTCCAATAGGACTCAGGCGCTAAAGGGGCGGGCATAAGCTTTAGAAAAGAAGGGGACATTTCTACAGACAAAGGCAGAAAGAAGTTGGTGACAAGAAGCCTTTGATCTATGAAAACAGACACACTTAGGGACTCTGGGGTCCAGATTTATTAATGACTTCATCCAGATAAGAATGAATTGAGCCTTTTCTACATTTTTATCTTTCAATCCAAACTGCAGCTACAATTTCCAATGTTTTTCATATGGTACTAACTAGCCTTAGTGTGGGGGAAAGAAATGCATTCAGCAAACGAAAAGGACAATTGATTCTGCCTAGTCCAGGGCTCAGCATCTGCAGATTCAACCAATCACAGACCAGAAATGTCAGGAAGGACATGACCTTAAGTGAAATGAGTCAGGCACGGAAAGACAAACACCACTTGATACACAGAAACTAAAAAGTTAATGTCACAGGAATAGAGACTATGATGGTGATTGCCAGAGTTAGGAAGTGAGCCAGGAAGAGAAGGATGTTAAACTGTGGTAAATGGTTACAGAGTACAGTTAAATAGGGGGAAGAACTTCGAGAGGCCAACTGACAGCAATCAACTGAGTATTTCAAAATAGCTAGTAGAGAGTTTTCACTCCTCCCAAAAAAGATAAATATGTGAGGTAACAGATAAGTCAACTACCTTGATCTGATCATTATACATTGTAGCTCATAACTATGTACAACTACTATTCCAATTAAATACATTTTTTTTTGTGGGGCCAGAGAGATAGCTCAGCAATTAAAAGCACTCACTGGTTGTTCTTGCAGAGGACCTGGCTTGGGTTCCCAACACCCATATGCTGGTTAACAACTGTCCTTAATTCTGGTTCCAGGAGATAACTCTTCTGACTTCCATGAACATTGCATGCACATGGTTCACTTACATACATGTACACAACACATAAACTACACATAAAATTGATTAGAAATATTTTGGCATGGGTGTGTGTGCATGGGTGTGTTGAGAGCAGAGTTCAAAGTCAAGTGTCTTCCTCCAGTGTTTTCTACCATAGTTTCGAGACAGGATGCCCCTCACCTGGGGCTTGCCCTTTTAGCTAGACTGGCTGCTTATGAGCTCCAAGGATCCCCCTTTCCCTTTGCACTCTACTGTCGGGTTATAGGCACATACGGGCACAACCAGCTTTTACTTGGGTATAGATATCTGAAGTCTTCATGCTTGAACAACAAACACTTTACCCACTGACCGATCTCTCTAGCCCAGTGAAAAATAATTATTTTAAAGAATTTAAATGTACTAAACATGCAGAGACATTTTTCTTGTCACAATTTCCTTAACAATATAGCATGGTAGCTATTTATGGCATATTGTATTAGGTGTATTAGATATTGTAACACAGCTGGTTTAAAGTACACAGGAGGAAGCATAACAGTCATGCAGATACTGCACCATTTTCATAGAGGACTTGAACATCCATAGGTTTGGGTATCTCCAGGGATCCTAGAACTGATTCCCTCTGGAAACAAAGGAATGCTTACAGTCATTTCTGTTTTCCTGCAAATGTCTCTGGGCCTTTAATAAACTTATGTTCATGGCTTTCTTAGATAGTGGTCTAGTAAGTACTGTTTTATAAAGCTGACCACAGCAGTTCGGCTTTTTAAGAGCTCCAGGAAGACTGAAACAGGAAAAGTTGTTTTGTCCTCAATTTTTTTTTAAACCTATAAATTATCAAACATCTTCCTTACCTGAGAGACATAATGGAATCTCTAAATCACAAAATATACAAAGAGGGATGAAACTCAGGACTCCAGAGTGAAGGCCTCAGTTTTCAGCCTTCCTGTTTCTGGAACTGGTGTTCTATGTGGCTGAGCCTTTGCTGAGCACGGGTGTTTCTCAGGCCTTCTGCTCAAAGCAGAACTCTCCCAGGGCTGGAATCCTAGTAAGGCTTCGTCTGGGACCCAGTTCAAAGGCAACTTGGTCATGAAGTTGTGTCATTCTCCCTCACCCTTCCCGCCTCTGCAGTCCACCACTAGGTGCCAGCCTCTCCCAGACATATCTGCCTTATTGACCAGGATATTGTGTCTCCCCAAATAAGGAGAAAGTTTTCAAAGTGGTGGGGCTTTGGTCCTCTACATGGGCCTAACCTAGTGGCTTTAATATGATATGGCAAAGCAGCCTAGGAACTGAACACAGTAGAATGAAAGCCTGATTCAAACCCCAGGCTTTCCGATCTGCCAGTTGAGTGACTACGCACAAGCTGTCTTAGCTTTGCATCTCAGTTTCCGCATCTGTAAAGTGGGAAAAATAAACAGCTCCCTAAAAGAACAGTGGGGAAGAACGCATGTGTCAATGCAAAAGCCAGGCTGAGAGCAAGTCCTCCTACATTAGTGTCCCCCTTTGCCAGCACTCTCAACCACAGTGTGTATCTCCTGATGGCAAAGGCATGGTTAAGGAGCAGGGTTTAACAAAGCAGAAGAGTGTTCAATTAACAGTGGTAGTTGGAGGTAAATAAGCCCTTAAAAAACTTAAACGGTCTAAGCGTGTCACCTCTAATCTTGTTTACATGGTTGATTTGCTTAGCCAACTCTTTCTTCATCACTTGCCTCATCTCAATGGTCATAATTCTGAACTGGGTGAGTCAAAATCAAATCTGTGCTACTGTAGACTAAAAAGCAGGCGGCAGATGGCACTGCCAATAGCCTCAGCCCACATCCAGAGCCCACCAAGCTCCCTTTTCAGTGGCAGAAGCAGAGGACAGAGTGAGAGATGAGGGGAGTCAGAAGGGCCACTGTCAGAAGTGACATTTCCTAGGGGACATGCCAAGGCCCATGCAAGAGCTCTCTGGAAAAAAAAAAAAAATGGCATTGCCAATCTATAGCTAGGTCTTCCTGCCCTGCTGGAGACTTTGTCCAGGGAGGGGTGCAGGTCCCAGGGTGGCGCTTCCTGAATGCAGGCTGCTGGAGGGAGCCATTCATTACGCTGTCTTGATAAATCTGACTAGCATCCTCCACTCCTATTTCCACTGCTGCTCTCTCTTCTAAACTTGGGGTATTTGGCACATGCCAGTACTGGAGGAGCAAATAGTCAGAGCATAGGGTACAGGAGAGTCCAGAAAGAAAGTCCCTAACACAACTTCAATCAGAATGGAAGGACAGAGTCATGCAAACATGCAAACATCGACTCCACATTGGCTCTGGGTTGCACACCATGTCTATGTGTTAGACATGACACAGGAACTGACGCTAACCACAGCAGGAGCAGCATTTGTAGGTTTTGAATCTATAATTGGGTTAAAATTAAGCTGGTGATGTCCTGGGAGACAAATACACAAATCTTTTCTGTGTCCGTTTCTTGAGGCCTATGTGTCATTGCCTAAACACACCCACCCTCACTGTCCCAGGTCTTCCTAGAATCTAGGCAGTCTCCACACCTAGGCCGGACCTTACTTTCTGCCCGTTTCTGATCCCGGAGAGATCCCTGTGCTGTCAAGACACTAAGGTTTGCTTGAAAAGGCTGCCCATGGAAGCCGCTATGGTGGCCCCTCTGTGGACCTGCCTCTGACCATGAGCCTTTCCTTCCTGAATACAAGTTCCCTCTGCTATTAATCACAAACCTCCTTGCATCTCATTTGTGACACTGCCTGTAATCAGGGTTGAGGCTGTCAGCTCAAAAATGGTAGTTTTCCCCTCTCCATGCTCTCATTACACAGATCTTTTCAAAGTTATGGTTGCTCAAGCTGGATGTGTAGCAATGGAAGGTATTATTTTTTAGCTGATAGAGAATAAAGTGGCATGAATGGTGTGGGCGGGGGAGGGTCCTCTTTGTAGCACAGGGCATCTCCTACCATCTCTCCTTGGCCTGAGACTTTGTATACCAGGGTAAATTTTCCTTTTGAGATGATGAACTTGTCAGTGTATGTTTCAGTGAGGGCATCAAGATGTTTTAGACTCTGACGTCGCTATGCCAGGCATAGAATGTCTAGAAAGTTCTGCCAGAAGCAGAGAGGTACAATGATTCAGTGCTGAGGCTCTGGAGTTGTACTGTTTACGCCCAGTCTTGGCTCTATTGCACACTATCTGTGGGTCCTTGAGTGAACTGAGTCTTCCTGCCCCATCCTGTAGGCTTACAGTAGTACTGAACTCCTAGGGTCTTGGGAGAACCAATGTGTACTTCAACATAAAGTACCCAGCACAGAATATGTGTCTATAAGTAAAATGTGGCATACGCTTCTGCATGAGAAATAGGGCTGGGAAATCCCAGGTGTATCACAGCCCTTCTGAACCTTCTCTGGCCTCCACAACTGGCCCCTGTGACTGTCTTGCTGACCACTGAAGCAAGGCTCTGTGGTGAGCCATGTAGGCCAAGTGTTAAGGACAGAGATCCATGGGGTTTTCATTCACCTCCACTGTCTACTGGCTCTGTCTGAGGCAGGTATTCACCATACCTAAGCTCCATCATCTGTACCGTGGCCATCAAAAGCCCCCATACTTCATCTGGAAGTTATAGGAATTAAATAGATAGAGCCTGTTCCATGGTTAACAGAGCATCTGACACAGTTGGGTGCTCAATAAATAGTGGCTGATTATTTTATTGATCTTATTTCCCTGCCAACTGTCTTAGGAATCTGAACTGAGTCCTTTTTTAGAAAATCAAAGAACCCAGGAGTATTTATATGCTAGGAGCACCTAATTTTGAAGCCAGCTTCTGCCATGAACCAGCTGTGGGGGAGTCAAGTGATTTCCCAACCTCTCTACCTTGAGCTTTCTTGCCTGTATAACAGGGGCTGTGAGTACCTGTGACATTATGCTGTTGTGGGGACCCATGAGGTCACAGAGGCCAGTGCCACACACATAAGAAAAATGTGAAAAACAGAAGACTCATGTTTAAAAATTAGATTTTTTTTTTCCTCAATGAATGAAGAGTTCACAGTTTGACAATTCTGCCACTGTCTATCTTCTATGGGGGCTGGGCGGGGGGGGGGGTTGAACAATTTCAATAAGAACTGCAACACTGCACAGGTTCTAAGAAGTTGTGGCCTTTGGTATGCTTATGAAGGATGCCTTAAGCTTGGGCTCTGGCTGGGTCCGAGCTGTCCCCTCCCTGTCACCATCCCAACACAGCTTCATTCTGACACAGGCAGCAGGAAGAGAAGGCTGAGTGACCTACTTCAGGAGAAGGCCCATCCCAGGAGAGACCCTGCAGTGGAGAGCGTGCTAGAGTCCACAAAAGACTGGTCTGATAATGGCGACAACAGGGAATGAGAGAGGAGAAAAGAGAAATGGTGGCATTAGTGGATGATAATGGTGCCCCCCACAACAAATCCCATGCCTGGCAGAATTGCTAGGGTGACTAAGAGGAGTCTAAGCCACTGCTGCAGAAGACAGATGAGCAGGGCTGATGGCCGGGACCAATGAGTTAAACACAAAGCACCAGAAGACAGGGCAGAGAGAAGCAGGTGGGCCCAGGGCTGATCCCCCCACAACAGTGAGAAACCTTCTTAGGCTCTTAGAGGCCCAAGTTGGATCATGTCTCAGAGCTGTAGGTTGGGGGCTTACCTTGCAGGCTGTTCCCATTGGTGCTGGTGCAGGTGGGAGGCGGGGAAGTCTGGGGTCTGACAACTGGGGCAAAAGCACTCTTCTGTTTCACAGCTGAGACCATGTTGGCTGGTGAGAAGGAAAAGATGCCCGAGGAGCTGCTGCAGTTAGAGGGGAGGCTCGTAGAGGAGGCCATGGTGGGGCTGGATGGCACAACTGAGAGGAACAATGAGGAGGAAAATTAGCAGCTTTCCGGTCATCCCGAGATGGGGCAAGGACATCTCTGCCCCTCACCTGGTCACACTGTTCTCATCATCCTTGGGCCTGACCTTTCCTAAACTCTCAGGACCTTGAGCACTTTGATCATTTGGTCCTTAGTATGTGCTACCTTCTACTGTTGATGATCTTCATGAGTTGATTGTACACTTACTATGTGTCCAATAGTGTGCTAGGCAGCGATTTCCATGGGTACCAGGAGGACTCCTTTTACTTCGCCTCGGGCAGCACTCCATCCAAACACATGGAACATGTTATGGAGTAGAACACAGAGCTGCCATTTTGAGTTCTCCAGGCCAGGAAAGAACAGGGATATAGTGGGATGAGTGCCAAGGCAAGTGCAGTCAACTGTTACGAGGCACAAGGAACACCAGAGAGGACTTCACAGAAAAGGTGTCTGGGAAGTCTCCCAGCTAGGGCTTAAATTAAGATTCTAGCATAGGAGCAGGTGAGACAGAGGAGGCCCGTGTGAAGGGGGTGTGGCCAAAAAAGGACTGAGGTGTGAAGAAAAAGCGTAAGTTGCAGGTGGGGCTGTAGATGTGTCCCTTTCTCTCTAAGATGGTTTAAGGAATGTAACAATATAAACAAACGTTAACGCGCAAAAGTAGAGAGAAAGACAAACCAAAACACACGTGACACATTAGAAAGGATGTAATTACAATTCCAGGTTCTGAATTCTCCATCCCACCTCCCATGCAGCTTTATAAATGTTAGTGAGTCAGGCAGAGGACTCAGTGCCGAATGCAAATCCTGTCTGGCAACAGTGGTGATTTAGATGCTGGGAAAACCTCGGCAATCCTGGTTACCTTAGGGGGCAGAGGCTTTGCATACAATGCCAAGGCTAATGTTTGCAGACACTCACTTCCTGTTTCCTCCACTTCCTGTAGAAAATTATGAATTCTGTCCAGTGATTTTTTTCAGGGACTTAGTTCGAACTCTAAATACTACCTTTACTATCTGCTTCATATGATTTAATAAACGTTACACATTGCTTTGTCATCCCCAGGGGTCTTCATGTTCTCCATCTTGTCACTGACAAAGTAACAAAGTCGAGGCATTTGACATAAGTTTTTAAATTTTGAATTGAATTTTTGTGCATTGCATACTTAGAAACCCTCCCCTGTCCATACTCCTTCCCCCCAGCCAGGTTTCGTGAATTCTGTCATATATGTTAAAGCCTACTGAGGGAAGTTTGTGTCCCCAAATATACCTTGGTGTGAGTCCATCCCTTAGAGCCTGGTCAGCCTATCTGTTGTCACTTCCTTAAAGACCAACTTTCCCTCACCCAGCACTGATCAGTTGCCAATAGTTCCTCAGCTAAGGCTGGGGCTTCCTACCCATTTCCCCATGTCTACGCTGGGTTTTTGTCTGATCTGAGCTTGCGTGGATCTTATGCATGCTGTCACCATTGCTGTAAGTTCATATGAGACACTTCCCAGCTGCCTAGAAAACTGTTTCCTTGGTCATCTACGACCCCTGACTCTTACAACCTTTCTGCCACTTCTTCCACAATGGTCTCCGAGCCCTGGGTGGCAGAACTTTAATATGGGAGTCCTATCCAGGGATACACACTGCAGTCTCTTATTCGCTACATTTTGACTAGTTATATGACATATTTTTTTTACACACATAAGCAAATGAGAACTTCTCAGTAGCCAAGTGAGTGAGTGAGGGGCCATAGCTAGAATGTGGTGAAACCAAAAATGAAGTTCAAATTCAGTGCGCATTACAATAAGCCACCCTGCAAAGGAAACAGATTCCCCAAGGAAACCACCCCCCTCTGCCCATGAGCCCATCAGAGGCTGAGGAGCTGCTTAGGGCCTAGTCCTTGGCCTCATGGCTTTGGAAAGTTGGGGAAGTTAGGATCAAACCAGTCATAGGTAAGAACTGTCATGGGGGGAAATGACAGCCATCAGTCCAAGGCAGGGCCTAGTCCAAATACCCCAGTTGCTTCGAGGAGAAGACAGACTCCTCATCCTCACCTCTGAGTTCCCACCAACATGTGCTAAACTGTACTTTTTCTTTTAATGAGACCAGCATCTTTATACATCTCTTAGGATTTGTAAATGTGGAAATACATTCAATAATAACACCCATTTAAATTGCAAAACTCCTGCACTGGAGGTTTGATTTTTAAATATTCTTAGACTTGAAATCCTGCTGGTTCACTGAGGAAGGCAATTAATCTCGTTGGCAAATGCGATCATTATGTGTATTTAGAGGTGGGGAGACTGGGGGGGGCAGTTAACAAGAAAGGGGTGAGATATAGTCGAGCAGTTTCATTTGTTACAACATTATTAGTTATCAGCCGCCATACCACAAAGTGTGTTCACCAGTAGAATGTCTGATTTTATTTTTTTTATTCTGTTGGAATTTTTCAACATGAGTGGTTTATGAATAATTAAATATTACGGAGGCAAAAATTCAAATCAGCTGGGCTCTGTGTTTATTGTTTTATTTGCATTTATGCAGATAAAACTGTCCCATCAGAGGGCCTATTTGAGAATTTAATACTATATTTGTGAACACTGAGGAAATCAATTAATGGAAATTAAATGTTCAAAGTTTCTCAGGCTGACAGATGCAATCTCAGGCTGAAGTCGCTGGGTGTCTGCACAGGCTTGGGAAGGTGAACAATCCAAGCCCCTAAATTGAATTGCTACCATATAGCAATTAGTTTATTGATTTAATTAAGAATGCCACCTTTTAATTTTCAGGTCATGATTGAAACATTTTCTGATTGAGTAGCTGGAAGAACACTGAGGTGATGGATCATTCGATAAATCAAAATCTAACATGAAACCGACTCCAATATTGGCTCATGAACAGAGAGGCATTATACTTGCAGACTATTTGGTGAATTTTAAATGCGCTGCTGCAAACTGCCGATTTTAAAGGAGGAAAGTCGACATATAAAAACTGAGCAGAGAATTCCCTCAGAAAGTTAGAAGACCCTAAGCATCTTTTCAGAAATAACTTCAGGGTAAGGATGACCCTTTCCTCCTTCAAAAGATTAGCAAACTCCAACATGTCTCCAACATGGAGACAGCATTGGTTTTTTTGTATTTTTAGCTAAGGCTCATGAATATTCTTTAACATACAGCTTCTGTCCCTCTACAAAGGTCTATGCATCTGCTCACATTTTACCATCTGAAGAGTTCTCCACAATGTCCCAGATGATTGGTTACCTATATACAGGTCCTCAGACAGAGATCCAGAGGTTGTGGGGACAGAGCCCATGACATTTTCAAGAGAGAACAGTCAGTTTTCTGGGGCTCTTTAGATGTATGTGTTTATATATAAAGATGCCAATTTACTGGGTTCTTTAGATGTGATCTAAATGTTGTGCCCATCCTCCCCCTCTCTTTGAATGTACATGTGTATGTGTGCGTTTCACCTTGCTAAGTTCTTATGAAAAAAGATGTTTGGGTCTGCCAGGGTTTTTTTTCTTTTTAAGAGCACATTATGCCCAGGCATGACAGCACAGTTGCACACATGAACTCACAGCTGTTGGGACTACACGCACAAGGCCTGTACAAAATCAAGCCAGCCAAATTCCCAGCATGGATTGGGGAGGGGCTCTTGAAGCCTCAGTGATTGGCAGTTGATGGCTACTGGGAGAGGAAGAGTCACTTTTCTTTAGGGATGTGGACCCTGAGAGGCTGCCATGCTCTAGTAGATGACCTTACCCCCATGTACATACAGGCATCATTAAAGGGACTCAGTGGGACATAAATTTTTTTTAGGGGAGCACTTTAAGTCGGGAGGGAAAAGTGGAGAGGAGCAGGAGAGAAAACAGAAACAGGGATCTAAACACATTATATGCATGTATGACTATTAAATAGTTTATAAAAGAGGACATTATACACCAAGGGGAGGATATGAATGTTAGAAAATAAATCATTATTTAAGGGGGGTCTCTCAAATTTTACCCCTGCTGTTGCTACACTATCCTACCTACCATTTAACCAACACTGGGATTATGACTTAGATGTCTGAACATGCCTGTGCCTCCCTCCTGCCAGGTCTTGGGATTAACTCCTCAGGAACACCATCTTATCCATGTTGCCCAGCACTGGAGAGGGTGTGTTCTAGATCCTTCCCATTTTACAGATGAGAACACTAAGGCTTACCATGGAGAGGAAATTACTCAGTAGCCTCCAGTTAGTAACTGCTAGAATTGAGTATCAAGCCCACACACTGCCACCTGACCCCAAGCCTGGCTTCTCAGAATAACATCTATTGTGTAAGGAGAGCAGAACAGCATGGAGACATCCAGGATACAGATGTACTTACTGGCATAGGGTGAGTTGGCAGCTGAGCCATTGAGGAAGGTTGGGGAGCCGCCCAAATTAGACATGGCGGCAGACCCATAGCCGTTCATGCTTGTGGTGACAGAGTTATAGTTGGTCTGCTGGGGGGTGGTGCTCGGCACATACCCATGTGGTGATACGCTGCTTGAGTTGCGGGTGAAACCTGAGAAGCGAGGGCAAAACCAAGGGTGAAAGTGGCATTCAGGTGGTGGCAATCTAGAGAGATTTGGGGGGCAAGAAGATTCTCATTTCAACCGCCACCCAGAGAGAAAGGACCCAGTGATTCATGTATGTGGATGGCGCTGGCTCTGTGATTAAAATGGGAAGCTTGCAAAAGACACATTTCTTAGATCATAAATACTTAGCAGGGCCGTGAGAAGTGGCATTGCAGGGCCTATAAATTATCATTTTGGAGCAGGAATAAATCCCAATCTAAGAGATGCTCCCTGGAGTTAACAGGTCCCTCTTCCCTGAGTAAGAATGATGTGCTATGGTCTATAAGAACTTTAATTCCATCCCTCTTTGTGACCTGTCATTCATAGTTTATGGTGAAAAGTCAGATGTAGAAATGGCTGAATAAAATGCATTCTCTCTAGCCCCCCACTAGGTCTCCAGATGTGAGGAGAGACAAAATACCACAACAATATTTAATACACACAACTGAGGAATCTCCCTTTTGGGAAGAGAATTTTTTAAAGTAAAAATGATTTGATGTCAATAGGGACAGCTTGAATTTGGGGAAGGGAGGGAAAGAGCAGGCTCCTGACCCTGATTGGTGGCCTGAGATGCCTCAGAGACATTCACAGCCAGTTGTCCACTGAACGAGTTCACGCCCATCATCCCCGCATGGACCGATGTGTTAGCAAGGGCTGGGAGCTGGTTGTGGTTGCGAGGGACGCTGTACAAAGCCTCTGCAATGTCGGCTGCTCTCTTCAGGATAATTTCCTGAAAAGTCAAAGGCACATCCTCGTTAGCTACCCAACTTATACCTCCAATAATACCATTTGCGTGTGCGTGTTTCCTATGTATCAGACTCTGTGCTCAGGGCTTTCGGTGGTTCATTGTAGTCATTTCTGTATCCCTGTTTATACACCTGGGTGGTGGTTTCACCATTGCGGTCATGCCACATCGAAGAAACTAAGCCTATGAAAGACAAAGATCTCACTTAAGAGTATTCACTTATTATATATTCCAAGTCCATTCATTGTCCCGCAATAAATGTGGGGGGGTGCACATATCTGTACAGTAGGATATGGAGTTCTCTAGGGATATGCCCAAGCATGATATGGTGGGGTCATATGGAAGGTTCTATTTTGAAGTTTTCGATTTAAAGGCAGAGCTGAGATTCGTAATGTCATTTGTTTGACTTTGGAAATCTATTTTTTCCAATATATGACAGTACTTTGGGACTCTCCTTTCCCGTCCAATAACACATAGGGACTCTGAGATCATTGCATGGGAGGAGCTGTGTACCCCGTTGATATGAGGGGAATGCTGAAGGTGGCAGCCAGGAAGTTGCACCCTGAGGATTAGTAAAGCTGTCTTCTCGAGCACTGACTCAGGAGAGATGGGAAAGGAGTGAGATTCCCCAGACTCATAGCTTCCTAAGCAATTTCAGCTCTACACATGTAGCTGCTCTGTGAAACAGGAATAGTACTATTTAGACCCTTTTCTATATTTTAGGAGAAGAAGAAATTAAACTCTTTTCACCTCCTAAATTTGCTGGGAAACCTGAGTGAAGTAGAATAAAACACAGTGACTCTCTTCTTCAATTATGAAACACATTCCCACTAGAGATTAGTTTTTAAACGGAGCACTTTTTCTGGAAAGGGAAAATGACTCAATAGAAAAGGCAGTAAGAGATTTACAAAAGAGGAAGGACTGATGAACAGCCCTGTGACGTGTCACATTTCAATGTCTTACACTCTTAACTCATGAATACGTCTGTTATAGTTTTTAATGCTTCCTCATACAGTAATTCTGAGATCTCTCGCTGAATGAGGAAAGTACCCACAGGTTAGAGACCTTGAACACTCACCTGGTTGTTGTGAGGCATCCCATACAGGGCTTCGACCAGATCTGCAGCCCGTTTGAGGATCACTTCCTGTCAAGAAAAAGTAGATACGGGCCTCTGAGTGATAGCTGGGTGTCTTTCTCTTTGCAGGATCCCAGACAGTTCTGTCCTTCTGGCCATACTTTGGCAAGGCACAGCTCTAAAAGCAGCAGCTCGGGGATCCCCAGAATGGTGCTAAATCGCCAATTTATCCTTGTTCACATACACACTTAATCGAGTCAAAAGGTGAGCATCATTGCTACTGCAAGATAAAATACATCACTCATCTCTGCCATGAGAAAGCACTCATATGTTTATTGCTGAATACAATTCCATGGTCATTTACTAGATTACTACAATCGATGTCATTCGGTGCATGGTATGAATCCCTAAGATGTGTTTATTTTGTGCTTAATTGCTTATTCCAGAAAGCATGACCTTATCAGACGGGTCATTTTCAAGGAATTTCCAATCAATCGTCAGCTACTAGAAGCATGTAGTGTTCAACTTCTTTTGTCTGTCTCTCTTGTATGGCAGAGGTACAAGGAGGGTGTGATGCAGTCAAGTCACACACTGAGGCAATATGCTGTCTATCAAAGGCTCTTACAAAAGGATTCCCCTGTTCCCAGAAGCCCCCACTGTGCCAGTATTAATGACTGGCAGCCTTGGTTTCTTAGTGGCAATTCTTTGCTGTTTTGGTCTTGTTTGTGCCATTCCCATTTGCTACTCATCCCAGGAGAAGCTAAAATTGACTCCTTCTAATTAAGGTGGGCTTCCCCATGCCCGCCTTAGACCGATGGGTCTAGTCTGCTGGGATGCTCTACAGAAATACTCATTTATCTATCCTAGACTATGGAAAAGAGAGTGACATCAGGCTTGACACAGGTAAAGATGGGGCCTCAGCAGAGAACCACTCCCAGGGCCATGGTGTGAGGATCAGAGGTGACTCATCCAAAGATTTGCTGACTATTGCTCATTGTGGGTAAAGTTGCAAACCAAAGTGTAACTCTGAACATCTTACGCACTCGAGCTCTGCATGGGAAGGAACGCTATTCGGTTTTCATACGCCGCAGACACTGATCAGAAAATAGGGCTATAATCGCATTCATTTTGCTGTCACTGTAGCCTCTTCAAAAAGCCTTGAACAGTTCTTGAAATGACAAGCTTTTAGATACATATTAGCATTTTTTCCAATTTAAAATTCTCTATAAGATAAGATAAAATAGTTGTCATACTGCAGTAACGACTTATGACATATATAATGTCCTAAATTCAAAAATGGGATAGAGGGGTTTTCAGTTCTCCATAAACATTTATGCTTGCTTTAAAGGCCCTAGACCCCATTCCTAAAACAATTCAGCTATTTTTCAAGTAGGGGGCGAAAAGGCATGCGACAATCCATGGAGTTTGAACCAACGTATCCAAACCCATTCCTTTGCTTTTTAATGCAAGCTACGAGATAATTTACCACTTTTTGTTTGCCATATTATCTGACCGCAGCAGTTAATAATTTACACACTAAACCCTATGCCCAGATCAAATTCGTCTTGTGCCACTTCCATTAAAACCTTGTGGCTTTATCTGGCTCAGAGGAAAGATGAAAGCGGAACAGGATCAAGTTAGTTTATTTATTAAGATTTGCCATCTCTGAGTCTATGTTCATTTATTTCTTCAAATGTTTCTCTCAATTTTTTGGCTCTGCAGAGAAAGTGTTTTTCTTTTGGTTTTGGGGGAAAATGTACGTCCTTTGTGGAAAGCATGCTGGGGTATATACAATAAGGCAGCACACTGGAGAACCCCAGTCTTTCAGCCCTGTGATTGGGGACCTAAGGCCTCCCTCCTTATTTTAATCAGTTTTGCAAAATCAGGGAGTAGGCAAATTCAGAAGGAATACTAAATCTTGGAAGGGTTTGTAAATCTGAAATTTTCTGTCTTTTGTGTGTATTGTATATGTTAATCTTCTATAACTTTGGGCGATTAAGGTTTTCAGTGATACAGTACAGGTGGAATTTTAGTGCCCAAAAGCTGGTCACCATTTAATCCTTTGCAAGCGAAGCACATGGAATCTGTCTCCCGACTCTGTCTCCTTGGTGATCCTCAGTCTGCTGTCTCTGATCCATGATGGTGGGACATGCTCTCCCACTGGGCATATGATCGCAGACATGGGTAGAATCAGCACATCAGTTCAAGCCATCATCTGAGTTTCAGGAGAGTGAACAAAGATTCCTTCTCCAGAAAGCTATGTCCTTAAATGGCACCTCACCCATCTGAAAATGCCCCTCACCGCAGTATCAAAATCAGGGTTTAAGGGAGATCCACATTTAGTTGAGTGCTGCCGGTGTGATTTGGCTTCTATTAGTTATTTGTGCAAATGGGAAGGAGGAAAGACATTTCTGGGTCCTCCATGAGGTAGTGCCACAGACCTGCAAGGTGGTTGGATTTCGGTGACCAGAAAATTGCTCTCACCTCCATGTCATTATGTTCCCAGTGAACTAGCCCCCAAGCGTGTTTGTGTTGGGGATCTAATATATTGCCTTTCAATCAGAGCTGAGAGCCACTGAACACACAGACAGAACATGACGAGCAGGTCAGAAAAGCAATAAAGATTTTACAGAGCTGTCCAAGGTGCTAAATTTACTCAATAATGGGTTTGGCACCATAGTGTTAACCTCTCATTTACTACCAGTTTGAGGGACTAAATTGAAGTAGCTGACTTCATTTACCTTGAAATGTATATTTTATGACATTATGTAAGTAGATTGAAAGGGCACCGCAGTTTTAACAATTTAAAGGCTAAAGCATGTTTAAGATGAAACTTGAATATTTATTGTATATTGCACTTAAAGTATATAGAATGTTAAAATGTATTGATTAAATTTGTAAAAGGCATTATAAAAATGACAGGTAGTATAAGAGATGTATGCCTTTTAAAATCAAATTGATAGTGTGTGCTAGCGCTTCTGTGGTCACAAGTGTAATTTTTTTGCAGTTTTAGATGGTAATTTGAAAATTCCGTAATTTCACATTAGGAAATGATTGAGTCTGAGACTTAAAAAAAAAGAAAGAAATTTCCCATCAGGGGAAAAGCTGGGTGTTTCATATAGTATTTTGTCTCTGAAATTATTCCTACAGTCCTATTTTGGCAGCATTAAGAGGGAATACAGCATAAGGATCCTTTAACACTAATATTCAATTTCAGTATTTCTGAAAAGAACGAGCACTTGGCTAGTACTAATATCTAATTTTTCAAGGCATTTATTTGTCAGGAGAGATTTTTCTCTTCTCTTCATAATGTTAAAATGTCTCCCTGCTTGCATTTTTAAGTAGGAGGGTAGAGATTAGCGTCTTCCAAGATAATTAATCCTATCCTTGGATTTCAAAGCAAAATCCCATTGGAGAATTTAAAAGACAAATACTAGTATCCTAAATATTGAAAATCCCCAGAGCATCCTTACAGAGATGCTTGTTCTACAATCTCCATCCTGAGTCAGACTAGTTTTCTTTTCATAGCTTTGAATGTTTTGTCTTAAAGAAACAGGCGATGTTTACTCTTAAAAGCAACAAATTTCCACAGATCTGTTTCCTCCCACAATCATAGTCTGTCTTGTATTTTGTCATGGATTAATGATTATGTGGATGATGGGTCTGTATGGGGAAAAGTGAACATGCTACTAAACCTACTGCGAGTTGACAGGATACTGTGGAGACAAAGAGGGATGAAGCTTCCAGAGACAGTTCAAGTGTAACTGCTATGGGGTTTTCTGAGTATTTAGAATCATCATTGTTAGAATGCTGAATGGGCTACAAAGAGTTCAGTGTTCTACGTTGCAACCCAGTCCATTGATGAGTTACTTTTGAGCTTCTTGTGGCCTCAGTTATCACATATGAATATAAATCTCCAGCTGCTTTCAAGGCCTGTTACCTTCCCAGAATTGAGTTATAGGATTCAACCATGGTTCCCCAAGACTGCCTCAACCCTCTCTAACCAATCTTCTTCCTGTATGTTTCTGCTTTCAGGTCTGGCCTAGGCAATCCTCCTGAGCCCAGAGGCAGAATAGTTGGCTCCTTCTCTCCCATCTTCTTGCCCACATTGTTACCATTCCTTCTTTGGAGTAACCATTTGCAATAGGGTGGTGGTGCAGTGATATGAGAGAGAGAGAGAGAGAGAGAGAGAGAGAGAGAGAGAGAGAGAAAGATCCATCATTGAAAGTGGAGTGTGAGCCCATCCAGTCTTCATAGAGAGCCTCCCTTAAGGTACTGTTCATACTACCATTTGACAAATGAAACTGAAACTCAGATCAGCTAATTCTCCCTGAGCATGCACAGCTGTTGAGTGGCCAAGCAAGGACTCAACTCCAGGCCTATTATATTTGTGTCAGAAATAATTCCATGTCTACAGTCACCTCAGCGCCTTCTCTCACTTTTTCCTCTCAGAAGTAATGTTGACTGTACCACAGAGGACTGCACAAAGTATGTCCATAAGTCATTTTGCTCTAAGGTGAAGTGTGCAAAGCCTTCATTCTCCACAGCTAGACTGTGGGCCTCTTTGAGGTGCTGAGCTCATTTTATTCTTCTCTAAGCTCCTAGAACAATGCTCAGCAGAACACAGGCCATGTGAAATTCCTAGAGTTCATTCTAAGATGCCACCACTGATTTTTAAAAATGCATGTCTAATTTATATGTTAGTATGACAGTTTTATATATATATATATATATATACACTGTAGTTCATAAGAGCAGAAGACTTAAATTTGGCGTTCTATTTAGCTCCTGACTTTTTAATCCAATATATAAATTTCTAAAAGTCAAGTTCTGATCACTATGGGTTTTTTACATCACTTTTGCTCTTATGAATTTGCTCTTTCACTCCTGCTGGCTTGAGCTTACATTTTAATTTTATGATTAATATAGTGAATCACGTCTGGTACAGACATTATCTCAAGTTATAGGCTGCTAGCAACACGAGGTTGGTCTTGATGTACCATCAGCTTATTAAGTCTCAAACCCTACAAAAATCTCAGAGTTATTTGCACATTCACAGAAAACCACCT